CATGTTACTAGAAGTCTGTGAGAATGTTTTTAGCTACACACCACTTAATCAACAGACATACACATTCACACGTTGATTTGCTTCATGTTTTGACTACTGCTATGACCAGCTGCAAAGCTGGCAACAGAGACGTCTCAGTTGACGTTTCTGTGTAGTATGGGGCTAGCCCAACCGAAGAGATAAATGTGTAGGCTTGGTTCGGTTCAGGGTCTTTCATCTTTCATCTGCCTGCGTGCAGGTTGGAGGTGCAAGATACCTGAGCGTGTAATGTTAATTTTTACCTGTGTTCATGGAATAAATCAGCACTGTTTTGTAGTTACTTGGACTGTCTCGTCTCTCAGAGTCAGTATAGTAAAAAGTACCGGGTACAACAGACTTAAAGGTCAGTCCATATCTTCACTGACTTGATGTTAATCAGTTAACAGGCACAACCATGCAGACAAAGAGCCTTTATGGCTCATGTATTTTTAAGGTAAGCCCCTTACTGCTCAATAAATTGTGTAATTTTTGTTTTCACCTGTCATCTGTTCAGAAATCAAACCGGGGTGATTAGATGGATGAGAGGCTCCATGTTCTTTCTTTCGCTACCCACATCAAGAGATAGATGATATGAATGATACTGTTAGATCATCAGAATAAAATTGCATTGCAGAACTCCTCTCTATCATATTATGCTTTGTTTGACTCACTGAATATCCGCAGAAATCTTGTTGTCATCAGGGCAAGACAGCAGAAGGTACAACGGAAGATAGGGCATGAATGCAACATAATTACAAACATCTGGTTTGCATGGCACCTTGTTGAGGTTCAGTTAGGAAAATTAATTATACTGCTACTGTGATTATAGGCAAAGTCATTATTTTCAATGTCTGTATAAGGTATTAAATGTGTGATAAGTGGAATCTACACTAAATTCTTGAAGTCTACAAACACACTGTAATTACCCATCAGAATACTATAGGAATATCACACTCTGCTGACAATATTAAAGATGAAAATAGACTAATAATATGGTCTTTATAAACTCAATATTGAGTATCAAAGAAATTCTATATATCACTATAGAAATGATAAATGTTAGCAGCGGCGGGCCGTGCATTTGGTACCTGGGCCTTCAGTGGGGACTTACCCAACTTCATTCACCTAATACCACCACTATCATGTTGCAATTATAGAAACCATCAGTACTATACAAAAACGCGGTACAACAAAGCCTGGCATTACAGAGAGAGGGGCATTTCATGTATTGAGGGTGAATATCATTTTTACTAAAGCAAGAAACCCAGTTAAGACAGCTCCAAACCTCTACACTACAACCGCAACTGTGCCTCGTACATCAGTTCAGAATCAATATTTATCTAATAACATGACAAAAACAAAACATTTAAATAAAATACATCATAATCACCAGAGATGCTATTTATTTATTTATAGACATAATCCATCCTCCTTTCTTTGCGCAGGAAGACTTCAGTGACTCTGTCATAGAGGTGATCTCTGCGTTTCAGTTGCATCAGTAAGTCCTTTTCTATAGCCATGGAAGTGGCGAGCAAACTAGTGATGGGAAGTTTGGATCATTTTACTGATTCGGATCGTTGAATCTCGTTCAGCAAAATGAATTAATCTTTTTTTGAGTCATTTCTTTCACTTCAGCAGAATGTAATTAAAATGTTACGTGTTAATTCCCCATCTACTTACGTACATATTGATCACGTTTCCAATAAGAAAGAACTGTAATGCAGCCCAGGTCATATTATAAGTAATACCGTACCTGTGTCTTGAGGCTATGCAGTCTGTTACTTTGCTTGACCTGCTGCTGATTACCTGGTCAGGTAATCAGCAGCAGGGCGATAGTATGGGATAGTTGGAAAACAAGCAGGACAGCGGCCCTCGAGGACTGGAATTGGCCACCCCTGACATACACAAACTGGAAGCAGTGCAGCTAAGAGAAATGCTGTGAAATGAAGAGAATAGACCGTTGGGGATAAATTAATACAATTCCAAGGAACAAATATTAGAATTTAGGTTGTAAATGTAGGCCAGTGCTTCTGATAGTGTTTAGGCCAGCAGAGAAGGCCTTGCTGGCCCTGACGGCCCACCACTGAATATTAGTGATACCACTGATGTGGATGGTTGCAACAAAGCTTCCAGACCAAGAGCCCAAAAGATCAGACAGCCCCTAAGTCAGAGCTTCTGTTTGAAATGACTGTTATTAACATTTTTTTTTTGACAAATCAAAGGGCCCTGGCAATAGTAAGGGTTGTCCTACATGTTTCTAATCCTGAACTGGATCTATCAATAAGCAGAATATGCAGTAAGAAAATAAATTCTATATCATATTTTGTGTAGTGCTCTGTAAAATGTGGCCCATGTGGATATGCGCTAATGTATTTACAGGTAGGCTATAGCATTACATGCATCTCATATCTTACACCAACTGAAATAGAACTGCCTCTGTAATATAGTTGCCTGTCATTGGGGAAGCGTTATAATAAGCATTTTTCCTCGACATGGTGTCTGGCATAGAAGCGGCTGTACTTCTACTGGCCAGCACTGTAAGCAGCTGACGTCACCGTTAAATAGCTAGTCAGTTGTTTTGGGAGAAGAAGAAAAGGGCTACTAGCGGAAGACATACCGTATATAGTTTCTGATAGCACTCGGTTTATGGTCCTGGTTTAGATTTTACACATTTTGAATAATGTCAACCCCGGCAAGGAGACGGCTTATGAGAGATTTTAAAAGGTACAGTAGCGTTTTTTATAGCTTGTGTTTGTGTACAGCTTGCAGCGTTACCCGATGTCGGTAGCTAGCTGCTGATTAGCTTAGCGTTAGCTGCTGGTGCAAAGAATGGGGTATGCCAAGCTAGACTGGAGTTACTGTGGAATAAACCTGTTAATTTGTATGTTTTTTTCTCGATTCCTGCCGTCTATAGGATTGACAGAGGCAGCATTTGATACTTCTGATGTTATAAAGCGATATCCAAAGAATGCAGTTTGGTTTTATGCAGTTTGTGTGCCCAGGGAACAACGTTATTTATTTTTCTGTTTGTTGCGGTAGGTGCCGTTTCTGCTAGCGGAGGTTACCTGAAATAAATGAAACTGCTGAACAAAAGACTTAACGGGCAGTTCATCAAGCCCTTTGTCTGACTTAACTGGCCCCGATTAGAAGGTGACATGATTTAAAGTGAGCTCAGTGCAAGCTGTGGGCTTTAATTGTGCTACATAAAAGGCAGCAACGTTCAACCAGCCGGCTGGCATTTTGCTTTCAGACCCCTTTGACAGGCAGCAACGTGGCTTGCAGGTATTGCACAATTCGTTGTGTGTGTGTTTGGTTGCTCCATCCCAGTACTTAGGATTGCTAGTTATGTGCCTACCGTCTCTTCCCAGAGCTTCTTCTGAATGACGTACAGGTATAGCTAAACAACATCTACATAACTCATGCTGTGAGCATGTTTGAGTTTCCTAGGAGAGTCACACCTGGCAAGGGGCTGCTTGTAATGCCTGCTATCCCCCGTCTGCTGCCTGCCTCCATATGGCACCCCACAGTAGGGGATGTCACTGGGGGAAAAGATGCTAAGCTATTCTACTAAGAACAGACGCTGAAGCAGGGGAGATAAGGTGTCAGTGTAACTCTACTCTGCTGGGCCAGTCCCCAGGTGGTAAAGGAAAACACTGACACATTGCTGGATCAGCCTGTGCGACCTCCTGTGTTTCATCTACAAGTCAAATTATCTGCACACTATGTATCTTGAAACTGGTCTGTGTAATTGTTTGATAAGTTGCTTGTTGCTTGGACTCCATACAGACCATACTGGTTAAACAAGTTGTAGTTGTAGTTATGCTGATGATCAGGTCACTGACCTTGGTACTTTTTGGTAAATTCCTTAAGATTATATTTAGTAAAACATCACATTCATTTCTTCAAATGTATTTTTTAGAAACAAATGACACTGTGAAAGCAGCAACCAGCTCCGTACACTACAGCAATGCCACATCTGAATCCAACCTGTATCCATCAAAATGGATGTTAACAGCATCTACATAACTCATGTACATGCTGCTCTCTCTTTGTCCTACTCTCTCTTTGCAAAAGACGTCAACTCCTCTCTCTGGCAGCCACTGGTTCAGGCTTTTAGCCGCCCAGCGCTCCTCCATGGCTGTTTGACATGACTACTCACATTCAGAAATTTTTCTTATAACTTTGGCTAGATGGCAGGCTGTAGGCAGTAGAGTGCCATGGGGTGGGGGGTAGTATAACTGAGAGACACCATGTCCTGTCCCATTTTCAACGGATTTCTCAGAGGCTGTGTATTTGATCTCAGTAAACTGGATCATTTCTGGCAGACCTCAGAAAAGCTGTATATGTACATCAAGTACTGAAGTGACTCTGTGATGTGAGCAGTTTCCTTATCAATCTGGCTAGTCAGGAAGTTGAGTGGAGCATCCCTTCACCAGTAGAGAGAGCTCAACCAGATTACGGTAAATGAGGTTAATTGGAGTGGGTCTGTCTGCAACTTGGGACGTAGATATGAATCCACACACAGACACACAAATCAGCCTATCTTTCTTTATAGCTGTGAGCTCTTATTAAACCAGGTTTTATACTAGTTGTGGGATTCAAGACATGAATAGTCAGTGGTGATGCCAGACCTGGCCTGGATGTGCTGGGTGATCTGAACTAAGACACGACATAGGTTCCACCATGGGACCCGACAGAGTAAGCTGTAGAGTACACACTGTCTTTATTTGTTATGTGGGCACCAGAAACCTGTTTTATAGTCTACATTGATCCACATTTTAACAAGCCAGAGGCTGTTGTTGGAAACTTAATTTAACATGTTGACTCATGACACCTGTGTGTTTCTTGATTTGCTGATGCAGTTGTTGCTAGACAGTTGTTGCTGTGATATTTTTGCACTTCACTTAACAGAGCACATGTCAGTTTTCTATGTGGTGCTGGGGTTAATGAGTATTGTCCTTAATTATAAATTCATCAAACTATTTTGGGAAATCTAATCAATAGCTTATGCTGTAAAAAGAAGTGGACAAATACCTATGCCATGTTTCTAAATTGTCTATAGCTTTAGATTAGAAAACCCAAAGGATTATAGTTCTAGATTGATTTCACTAGATATACCATAATCACTATTTTGATAATTGATGAATTGATGGCCTTTGACTAAGATGCTCAACTGTGTGATTTTTCAGCTTTTATTCATTAAATTCTTAAAAATGTGTGGGTTTTGTACAAAATGAGTAATTTGGATGCTCTTATATTCTTCATTATTTATTACACTTAATCCACTAAATGGTTATTCTGTTAATTGATTTAAATTATGTAACAGCTAATTGATGCATTCAACAAAACATTTAATCTTTATTTCTCTGGATTTCTGATTGCAGAAGATTTCTGTAGTCGACATTTCTTCTGTCTGATGCTGCTGATCCCTTCTAAGTTGGTCTGTTTATTCCAAATGCACTGGTTTTTCTGCTGCTACAGGTGTAAAACCTATCAGTTCCTCTGGTTTTTCCTGGGAGACAAACAGACACTGATTGTCCACAGTTGTCGTACACTGGGCTTCAGTTCAGTCATCAGCACTCTACTGTAGACCCACATCAGGGTGGCCCTTCTTTAGTTTAATTTGTGGTTCTGCAGGCATCCCGATCATGACAGCTCCAGTCAGAGGTTATATCACCGAGCTTTGATGCTTCAGATGAGTGTTAATGGTATAGCTTCTGTTAGCTGATGTGCGACAGTACAGTGGACAGTGGAAGTCTTGGCATCTACTGAAGTCATGTTGATACAGCATTTTGACTGATAATTATCCTGCAGTCAAGGTGTTAATTAAACTCCTTGCGCTGTCTCCTATCCTGTCTCTCTTTATCCCCATGTTATTTCTTTCTGTGGGCCTCCATCTTTTGTATTTTTTCTCTTCTCTGTCTCACTCT